ATGAAGTGAACGAGTCTCTTAGCAGTGGATGCGGCGACCCGCTGATCTCTCAGATCTGCTCTCTTGCTCTCTCTGAATTGCTTCTCCTCGTCGCTGTCCAAGGCATCGAACTGGCTTCCTCGATTTGTTCCCTTGGTTATCGCGTCTTCCCTGGGCTTGGCGACCGTTGTTCTATCGGTGGTTGCGCTGAGGGTTTCGACGGCGCTCTCGAGGGTCTGTGGCGTGGGCTTGACTGCGTCGGGTGTGCTTTTGCCATTGGCTTTGAGCATCCCAGTAACTCCGTTGGCGGCGGTAAAACTCTTCATCGCAGAAAGATTGGCTAGGCACTGGTTTCGGGCCTGTTCGAACGCATCTTCAACGATGCTCTTGAACTCGTGGCCGTTCTCATCGGTTGACTGGTCGTGACGCTTGAGCGGTAGGTTAAAGTTAGAGAGCAGGCTTATGATCATGCTTCAACCGAGCTCGAATCTCTCCGGATCTTCGTGAATGATTCTTGATGTGGCACTGAGAATGTCGGGAATGATGTGTGAGGTGAAAGTCTTGTCAAGGCCGGGGTTGAGAATCTACGTTAATTGTTAGACAATGGTAGAGTACATGAGACGACAACTTACGCATAACTCTTCTAGGGCTTTCCCTGCTTCGTTGGGAGTGGATTCATGCTGTTCGATGAGAAGTCGCAGCTGGTCAGTCGAGCGATTCAAGTTGGTAGTAGACATGTTGGGGCTGTACGAGCTTCCTGGAGCTTGAAGCTTGCCGTTCTTCGTTATCCTTGGCAGAGTTCCATCTCCAGGCTTCTGGATTCGAGTTCTGCACTCCGCACAGCTGCCGGCAAATTTGGTTCCATGTCTTCCTCCGCTCTTCCAGCTTCCCGATGTCATCTGCCACGTCCCGGCATTCTCTGAAGAAGAAGATCTGATCTGTGCTCCCGTCAATTTGGACGGCCGAACAGTGTCCGCGTCTGGGTACGCTAAAGCGTGATACTTGATGTTAATGAATCCGCGACCGAGCTGCAAGATAACCCTCAGGGCCTTCGTGGTGGGCGCTATGGCTCTCGCAGCTGCGATTTGAGAATCTGCGCCATCTCCCTCGCACAGCCTTTTGACCGAAAGGCCCTTGTGCACCTTGTGGTTGAACTGGAGGTCCTCGAGCGGGAGGTACCAGCCAACCCAAACCCCACGACACTCGAGACTGCCGCCCTGCCCGACTTCCTGAGCCGTAGGTTCATCTGGGACAGTGATTCTCTTCTTTGAAGTGTCGTTATTCAAGTCGGTTTTGAGCATCGTCTGGGTGCGTTCGTCAGCTTGATGTGCGAGAATTGAAGCTTCAGATTCTTTGGTCGAGAATCTCCTAGCCCATCGTCGTAGGCATGGAGTCCCGTGGTCCAACACAGGTCTCGGGAGAGAGTGATATCAACGTCCATGGTGTTTTGGATCGTCGGCGAGAATCGGGAATGTTTGGGGGCTCGACGGGGCGGGATTCACTGCGGAATTTGGGTCTATGAAAGTCGTGATGACTCCAGAAGGGCGTGATACCTTCAGAAAAGATATAGATAGTTGACGGTCACTGTGGGATAAATAGAAGAGAAAGTGTAGTCATGAATTAGTCGATGCGTTAGCTTTTATACCCCCGTGTAAGGCCTCTGGCCGTTCAGTCATTTTTACCTGCTTAGAGCGACAGACCTCTTGACTGCGCGCCTCCTGAACTTTATGCGGTGATGTTCAGAGGCTTTACTTTCTAGCAGGAACGTATGGGGTTTCTGTACTGTTTTTATTGGCCGATAGAGGGTAAAAGTACCTATATAGTGTTTCCAGAATTGTGCCCGCGAACAGGGTGAATTTTGCCTCAGTCTTTTCCCCCGTGTAAACGCTCGTCGGGCGTGCAGATAAATCAACATTGAGGATGTCAAGTCTATTGGATACGAAGGCTCGTTTATTTTTAAGTAAATATAGTATTTTTAAAATAGATATAACACACGAAATCAGCTAAGGCACAGAAATATCGATCTTCGGCTGAATTCTAGGTTGTTTCTTTTTAAGAGCCTCGTTTAGGTGGGCTCTTACGGTGAAATACAGGTAAATCCCGTGTTCCTGTAAATCAGAACTTGGGCATTAGAACATGACATTGGACCAGAATTCGACAGAGCCTGTGAGTATAAGACCGCGTTGGAGATGCATATGGCTAAGTTTCGTGCTATCAAGACGAATCGCTGTAAGGAAACTGTTCTGCTAAGAGTAACTCAGCCTACTTTGTAAACTCCATCCTCAGCTTCCCTCTGGCACCAATCCCCCTGTAGGCTTCTTCACCAAACCTCTCTGTTCACGATCGATTGATTGCTTCTCACTTGGTACGTGTGAATATAGAGCTCAATTGTCGTCTAAGAGTCCTTCTGCATACCAGCGTATGAGATGTTTTCCGTTTCGTCGAAACGCTGATGGCGAGCTGAGTTTGTCGATATGCTCAAATATGTAACAAATATCGAGCATTTGGGCAGCCGGTTTAAAGGTCCTCCAAGTCGCTCTCAGTGCCCTGGAACCATTCGATGATACGAAAACCTGCCAGAATCGTGTCCTGAGCATGCAGGGGAAAGCCATGTTGGAGATTCTGCATCAAACGCTCGTCGGACAGGAGAGCCATCCGTCTGATGAACTTCATGATCTGGGTGATGTTGTCGGTGTCAGGAGGCGCTTCCGCCTTGTCTTCTCTTTTGGTTCTCTTGCGTCCGTTTGTTGACTCCTCCCGGTTGCTATCCAGCTCGTCAGCATCGCCTCTGCGGCGCTTCTTCTCGTCATCAACCTCGCGCTGTTCCGACCGGTGCTCGTTCTTTGACTCCTCCGTGTTTCGACTCTCCTTCCTATGCCTCCAGTGCTTCTTGCTGGTATGATTCTGCTGTTGGCTTCTCGCTCTCTTCAGGTTCCGAGTCTCAACCTTTGGCGACTTATCACTGGCCACGCCCCTAGACCTGTCTTTCTTGACATTCATGCACCCTTCTTCCTTCTCAACGTCTGTGGGTTTCATACCGCTCTCATCCGTAGAGCATCCTCCATCATACTTGCGGTTGCCGGAGTCCGCAGAAGGTGGCTCGCTGAAATCACGAACGTTGTAGCTGCGAATGTTTGTGTCGCTCTTCTCTGTCACTCGAAGCTTTTTGATCCTCTGCTCTCTCTTGCCTTTTCGAGACTCGTTGTCTCGTTTGGCGTGTTTGTCGGAAGATGCGTTACTGGAGCTACGTGGGTTCTCCAGGCTTTTCTCCAGACTCTTCCCTAAGCTGATCTCCAGCTCCTCGCACGAACCCATGATCTTGGTATTCAACTGCAGCTCATTGAGGACATCCCTCGTCACCTTAGTGTCTCCGCCCTCCTCGCGTTGCTTTCTGGCTTCCTAGCGGCTATCGTTGCTTTATGAGCACTTCTCTCCGTTCTCAGCAGCCTTTCCAATCTGAAACTGTGTGCAACTGATGATACTTTTGAAAGATGCCACTCCAATAGCCAAGGCGTGGGTACTTGGGAGGTATTGTAGTTGAAGAGGAGAGAAAGTTAGTCAACAGAGCGGTAGATACGAGGAATATTTATACACTAATGGATTCTAGCTGGATATGTCGAAGGTCTTTGCTACACAGGAATACATGCAGTTGATCACATTAAGCTATATAGACTTAAATGTTGAAGTTGCAAAGGATTTTACTCAGACATGCATCTTTGACCATGTTAGTACTTGACGCTATCCTTGCTTTCTCTCTTGCTGAAGCAAGCCTTTAACTCAAACTTCGTTTCCAGGGTGAAGATTCATGACTGTTGTCGTTCTCCCACCCTTTTCACTCCCCCACTTGACCCTATCATGTTGTATCGGATCCCAGGACGACCATCGCAGTTGTGGTCTTGACGATGTAGACCCAATAGTCTCGGGTATGATATTCATATCGGAAGAAAACTGGACGTCGTAACCTCAGACAAGACTGAAATACTGCCAGTTCGGGAGACTGGAGAGTGGCGAAGCAAGCTGTGTACGACCTTTTGGTCTGCGACATATGCCCGAGAAAACCCTTTCCCAAAAGCTTTACCGTTCTCTAATGACTCTGATGATATTCTGATTTTTGTTCTACTCTTGTAATTGTTTTAAAAAAGATAATAGCGGTGAAGAGTGCGAAAACATAGCCTGCGACTCTTTGTTTGTCGGTATTTAGGATTTGAAACCCTCCTCTTGCGCCTTTCTCCACGTCATATCACGGCTTCGAAACCGTGGCACGTCACACTAACACTAATGAACATTCATCCAGTGAATGAGATATTATATAGGTACGGTAGCAGGTGTTGTGAGTAAGGTACTTAGATGGGGACCTGGGTCAGCACAATGTCAGAGTCGTTCATTGACTGGCAGTACAACAATTCATATCACAAGATTGATGAGGACGTGCTATTGCACATTAGAGTCGTTTCCATTGGCCTTCGGCATCCGTGGGTCGTGAGATTGACACCCGGGTACACGTATGGAATGATGGATGCAGAAATAAGGTAAAGTCGAGCCTCGACCCTACTGGCATCCTCGTCCATTAATTTCTCAAAGATGACTCGAACAGCGATCTGGAAACGTCAGAATGTTAGAGCGGGAGCTTCCTATAGGCAAATTGACAACTCATAGATCACGATAGAAGAGTCCCCATTATTGTAAACTGTAGAATTCAGAGATATCTGGCCTAGTGTATGTGGCTAATCTCTGTGTTTTCCATTTCTGTGCCATGAAAAATCAATCGCTGTGTGTTTCTGCTCTGCTGGAACCTCGTCCTCCGCTGGTCATCGAATGACCCTCCCCTGTGATTACTTCGTGACCAGTTCATTGGCTCTCCATCTGATGCTGAAAACGCTGCAAAAACGTCTCCCATAAGAAAAATTGCGCAGCTGTTGTGTGTGAGATTCTGATAATCGTAAGAATGCTGAAAGAAAGAATAGAACGTCGGAAAGTGCCGACTGGTGGATAGAAATGAGACGATGTAGTAGATGGTTGGCTTATCTCTTGGCCGCTGTGATGGTCATGTTCTGGAAGGACTCAACCATATCCATCCATCCCACCATCATCTTATTCCCAATAGGATGAATCCATCTGAAGCTGTCGATCTGGCGCTCGGTGGACAGCTGAGACATCCTCCGGAAGAACCTGACCAGCTTCAGATCCTCCTCGTCGAAAGCAGAGACGTAGCCGCCAGCATGATGTCTCGATCTCTTTGTCTTGCTGAAGGAGCTCTCCTGATCGCTTTCCAAATCCTCAGACTCGTCTCTGCGTCGCTTCTTCGCACCATCGCTCTTTTGCCTCGGGTCAGCGTCCTGGTGGGCTGGGATAGCTGTAGCTGTCCTTTGGATTTCAACCTCTGATGAGTTGTTGCTGTCCGCCTCGGAAATGGCGTCACTATCGGACTCGCCCTCTTCTCCGTTCTCCTCGGGCTCGCTGTCCTCCTCGGGCTCGCTGTCCTCCTCGGGCTCGCTGCTATCCTTAGGCTTATCTGAAGATGTATTACCGGAGTTGCGTAGCCTCTCCAGTCTCTTCTCCAGGACTTTGATCAAGCGCTCATGAGTGAATAAGAGCCTGTGATTGTTTCCAAGCGAGTCGAGGTCTAGTTCGATGTCCTCTTTGATGCTCTCGTGAGAGTCGTGGACCTCTTTGAGATGTGTTTCGACAATTTGACGGCTCTCTTCGATACTGGCCATGTTTGCGTCGGCAGTAGACATCGTTAGGTCTTGTTCTTGGTAGTTCTGAATACCCCGATTCTTGATATTCTAAAGTTCGTTCTTGTTCCTCCGTGTTCTTGCTCAGATGGTGCACAAGCTAGTTGTTCTCAACTTTCCCCCACCAGTCTCGTAGACCTCTGATGCTCAAGTGCGTACGTCGTTGAAAGGCGTGATGCCTTCAAAATTGGTGCAGGTCGTTGACAAACGTTGTGGGATGAATAGAAGAGACAGTTATTTCACGACGTGGCCGCCAAAACAATGGATTTTATATCTGCGAAAACGCTGCGTTTAGGTTATTTTCGTAGAGGGAAAGAGCAAGGAACAAGGCAAGGAAAGTACAGTTTTCGAGCTAGTCAGGCAGGAGCGAAGGAAACGTGAGAAAGGTGAGTTTGATCCTGCCTTGACACTTGTACCTGGTGAAGTAGTATGCTATGTATCTCTCCTAGACTGACAACCGGCTCTCTAACCCAGTTTTCCTATATTTGTTCAACTAGACGCACCCTGGCTTGATCACCCCGAACGGGATCTCCCTCATGCCTATGACTATCCCCCGGGTCGACAATACAGCTGGTTGTCAATAAGCTTCGCAAGGTGAAGTTGGCAACGAAACGGCCTCCTCGACTTGTTAAGCGCCAAATACACGAAGACTCCGGCCTTCTCGTCTAGTCAGACACGAACTCAGTTACGTGGCAAGATACGAGACGATGTATTGCTGGGGGTGTTCCTTTTTCTTGTTTTCCTCGGCGCATGCCCTCGCAATTGGTCTCCGGGTACTAGCCAAAGGGAGTCAGGCCTCACGCAGCCAAATGTCCGAGACGGGCCAAATGACGGCCCGAAGGCCCGTTGCCCCGGGTTTTGAGGTGTCGGTGGCGGCGTGGTGCTGTGGGGCGGCAGCACCGAGATAGGGGCCCGCCGGCCCAGGCACCGGTGGCAGTGGTTGTCGGGAAGGAGAGGAAGAAGTAGTCCTTTATGTAGTTCTGTACTGTTGAGTACGGGGGTCACGGTCTCATCGATCTCATGTTTTTGTGGCACTTGCTTAGGCGTGGGATTGAAGGCTGTTGACTGTGGCGATCATGGCTGACTCCTGGGAGAATGTGTCATCATTGAAATTTTATGTGCGGGTTATCCGAACTTATCGCATAGTCTCTATTAGCTTGTCCTTGGTGTTCTGGAACAACATGTTGCTTGGGGTTGACTTGTGTAAACGAGGACACCGTCATGTGGAGGGGCGACGGTGCACGACGGACGACGGACGACGATGACGACGACAACAACAACAGCGAAAGCGACAGCACTAATGGACAATAAAGACAGCAACAACAGCGACGACGACGAAGACAACAGCGACGACGGCAGAAACGTCGGCAGAAACAAGACGAAAAACATCAAACATCGGGCATGATTCTCGAAACATCGCCGCTGACCTCAATTTCGATCTCAAGCATTCTCAAACAGTGAGTACGCGACAGTCTCTTTCAGCGATGTTTATCTGGATGTTCTCGCGCAATCCAAGACCGACAAGCACACTTGGCTGTTCTCGAGATATCACGAGCGGCCAAATGCGGCTTCCCACAATCAAGCTCCGTGACTCTCAATGATGATCATCGGTCGCTTGTCCGGCCAAACCTATGTGATCACTTGTTCCATCGACAAGGTAGCTAATTTCGATATTTCTCTTGAGATCCATCGAGTTCGACGCTCGTATAGAATTGTTGTGTCCCGTCGGCGCCTGGCCAAAGAGGTTCTGTATGCGGTCAATTTCTGACTTCAGTCAAGCCACGACCTTCCCAGCCACCCCACCACTTCTTCCCTTGACCAAACGCCATCACGGTAAGCTCGGTGAAGAAGGCGGCTGTCAAATATCGAATCTTCCTCTCAAGGGATGCTTAATTGCAATAACCATTCATGCCCTTCGCCTGGCGCATCCAATATTCTTCCTGAGCCATTTCTCCATAGACCTCAATGGAACAGCCTGTTTGCAAGGTGCCGAAGACAATCAGTGGACGTGAAAACACGCTCGAGCCAATGAAACACCCCTCTTGAGCCATACCCTGTCAGGAATGTGGAAAGTTTGGGTAACACGACCGGAATATGGCCGAGCCCCAAGACAGCCGCATGAACACAAAACACTTTGATTGGGTGTTTCTAGGGCTCATTTCCTTTTGTTCCCACTCGGTGGAAAGACTCTCCGGGTCTCGGCTGAGTCAGTCCGTCCCAAATTCTGCCACACGAGTGATCTGTCCCCCGCGACACCGCCCACCACAACTCTATATAACCCGCGTCTGTCTCTGCATCTTCCTCTTCTTTTTCTTTTCTTCTTTAGCTCTCTTTGTAAGTCTTTGAAGCCCATGCCTCCTCCTCGAATAACACGATTTGCTAACAAAATCTCTTAACAGGCCTTTTGGCTTAGATCAAGTGTAGTATCTGTTCTTTTCAGTTTAATCTCTGAAAGGTCTCTAAGGAGACCAATCGTGATTATTCCTATTTTTGGCTTTAGGGAAGAGTCCTCTGTGCTTGCACATGACTCATCCCACAGTGTCCCTGGTATTACACTGCCTCCAGGCGACGCGAACCTCTTTTCATTGTACGCCCTGGCGTGTCCAGGGGTATGAAGAAGAAACTTCGACACACTACGCATGAATGTAGGCAACTGCCGACAGCTGTGACGCACAAGCCACATGCATTTTGGATTCCAACTGTCGAGCACACTAGTCACCAGCTCTAACGAGCCCTGCGAAGACCTTTCATGCTGTGTACTACAACGCCTGTTCACTTGGTGAATAGAATGTTCCATGTTCATGTTCAACCTATGGTTGTAATCAGACAGATAGATGGATGGGTTGTGTAATACTGACTTGTGCTAAGTCAGCATCGAGATGTCAGATGATGAAAGCTGGCCATGCTATGCCGGCGCTTTAGGATAACTTTCCAAATTTGGTAACCTTGCTGGAGAAGGCATCTTCTCTTATCTTCTCAGGCGAGATGACATGTACGGTGCTAGCTAGGCAGCTGATATTGGGACGTGGCTAGATAAGTCCGGCCATGATGGAACTTGAATCTGAGAAAGCTAGAGGTTCATCATTCAACTTGCGGGCAACTTGCGGGCAACTTGCGGGCAACTTGCGAGTAATGATCTTCGAGTCGACGACTAGCATTGAACAATTAAAAAGCCTCAGAGACACGTCTGCCTGCCAAATTTGTCATGGTTAGTGTTTCTAACCCGCGCATATTTTCGAGTGCAACCACTCATTGCCGCCAGAGTCCCCACGGCATCTACAGAAGCCTCTTTCGCCAGGCGGAAGACCTTTCAGTTTACCTTGACACTGCTTGGGAGGTAGTCCCCGGCGTGGTGTTCCTGCCATTGCTCCTCCTCGGCGAGATCATGATCATCATTGGCGTCATGATCATTTTGCCGGTGATTCAAGTCACAAAGAGCATTTGCTCAGCATCATTTTTCGTCCTTTGCGTATTGTCAAAAGCCGTGGAAATTTGTTTTGAGTTGATTTTGCTACTGAGAGGCATCGCAGCTCAGGTTGTCCGGACACGAGTTGACACAAATAGTGCATTCCATGGGGTCGACATCCATGCTGGCATCTCTTCGGTCCGGAAAAGGTTTCGGTACGCCCTGTCGCCGCCGTTTATCCCATTCCGGTTGTTCTTTCGGCGAATGCCGTTGCAAGTCTCGGGGCGCGAAATGGACGTGGAGGCAGTGCGCAAGCATGAGGACGGCCGCATGCAGAAGAAATAAGTCGTACTGCAACGAGGCGGGAAAGAGTAGAAAATCTGAGCATCAACATACTGTCGCAAGAGATGCGCAGAAAACTTCGTCTGCTGAGCGCTTCGGCCACTGCAATTAGGGCCAGACCCGCAACGCCGAAGGACGCCGCTCGTGGTTCGGACCAAATGGGGTCGGCCCGGTCCGGACGCCGTCCCTACGCCGACAATCTCCGGGGAATGCTCCTCGTTCTCGCTTAGGAGCTCAATCCAGCTGCCTCTTTCCCGCAGGAGAGCGATCGATCCAGACCGTTCCAACGCATCACCGTTGCATCTTTAGCGTCCCCGAATCCCACGCTCGCTTACACCCACGCAGCCCCCAATATCGTCGTCAAATTCGAAAATTATGCCCAATTCTCCAGTGATCGTGCCTTAGGTGATGATTACCATCTCATGGAGTCGTCATAGACTTTACTGCTGCCTGGCTTGGCCGATTCTGGGTGCGCTCTTTGCCATGTTGCATTAGACTTTCGCACCAGTCAGAGATCGAGTTTACCGCGTACCCATGTCCGGTCTACCTTCACTTGGCACACCTGCTAAGGGGGGCAGTGCCTGGCACACTCTAATTGCACTGCGAATCCTGCGAATAGCCTTCCCGAACTATCCTTTCCCAACGGACTTCTTCTTTCCCTTATCGTAGATCAGAGTTTATATCTGGAACATGGGGTTTAATTCTGCCCAGATGACGCTTTCTCTGCCCGTTTGATGTTACGCGGAAACGTGGATGTGAGAGGGGAAGTTTAGGCAACAGCAAATTGACGGAGAAATTCATCACAACAGCCGCTGCGAGTTCATCTCATTCTTGTTGAAAAACACACTTGATCTGTCATTTTTTCTCTTGTTGCTTGTGGGTTAGATAAGGGACCGTTGTCTCCCGCACTTCCTGTTCAGGACATACGAGAGATCCGTCGATGAACTCTGGTTTGCCCACCCCCGTCTCACAACCAACGAGACGAAACCGCAACCGGGTCGCTGGGACGCCGCCGGCTTACAAGTCCATCTCACACCAAATTTATCAGCCCTACGATCAGACCAATCAGCCCTATGACGATCCGTCCAGGCCCGGAAGTGCTCACCTTCGCGCTCGAGGACTGGCCGCGCAAGGACGGGCCCAGCACCCGGGCCAGCAAGCCCAAGGTGCGGACCGGGTGTATTACTTGCAAGTATGTAGTCATTCTTCACACTGAGACATGTTCGTGTCAATGTTGACGTTTCTGGCAGACGCCGCAGGGTAAAATGCGACGAAGCGAAGCCGACATGCCACAACTGCGTCAAGCGCAAGGTCCCGTGTGAGGGCTACATCACGGAGCCGCGGGCATCAAAGACGCCCCCGAAGCAGGCGGTGAGGTCTCCGAGGGGCAGCGTGGTGGCCATTTCGCCGCGGGTGGTCGAGCCGAGCTACGAGGGCCTCGTGTTCACCAGCCAGCTGCAGCGGGACCACTTTGACCACTGGCTGTGGTTCGCGGGCGACACGCTGGTGTTCCCGTCCGAGCTGATCACCGAGACGATACCGCAGCTCGCGCGGTCCGACGCCGGCGTGAGGAATGCTGCGTTTGCGATTGGCGCGGCGTCCTTGGGGAGTTTCACGAGAGAGCAGCGGCTCAGGGGCAAGGGGCCGTATTATCCTAATGCGCTGAGGTATTATAACCGCGCGTTGCAGCACACGGCGGCGTCGGCCACAACGGAAGACTCGTTCCCGAAGGTACTCATGACGTGTCTTTTGTTCTTCATGTTTGAGGCGTTGCAAGGGGATAGGAAAGCGGCGCTGATTCACTTGAATCACGGATGTCACATTCTTGATCAGTATGAGCGGCGGGTCGGGCGGAAGAGGACGCCGCTGCTTGAGGCGATAGTTGCGAACTTCCAACGCCTTACGATGCAGTCGTGGAGCCACGGAGGAGACCATCCCGCTGAGACTGAAGAGCATGCGCCGTGGTGCTGTCGAGGGAGGATGAAGCGGTATGCTGTGGATGAGATGCCGGAGGTGTTTGATACCCTCGACGAGGCACATCGCTGGTGGGAGATTACGCAGCATCATGTTGTACACCACGCACCACTATTGATTGGGTTCAGGGTCGAAGGGACGGGGAACAAGTCGCCGGCAGCGTATCCCTCGACACAGAGCTTGCCGATATCTACTGAGAAGGTCAAGGAGCATATGAAGTTCATTGAGCGCTGGCGAGCAAGGTTCCTGCCTCTGGTGAGGGCGCCGGAAAAGCACGCCCAAGACCAAGAAGATCGGGAGCGGCTGAAGACCCTCGGTCTGAGGATACATTCTACGTATCTGTCCGTACCAACAAAAACAGCAAATTACACGGACTGGGAAGCACTCGTATCCTTGACGCCCGCGTTCAGGGAGGTTGTCACGCTAAGCGAGAAGTTTCTCACAATTCAACAGCGGCACGCGAAGATGGGCGAGGTGTTTACGATGAACAGCATCAGTCCCACGTGGCCCCTCGGCGCGGCAGCCATCCTGTGCGCCGATGACGGCGTGAAGGCGGACGCGATGAGACTGCTGCGCAGGTTCCCTCGCCGGGACGGGCTTTGGGACACGTGTACGTATGTCACGATGCTGGAGGGCGTCCAGCGGGCGAAGGAGACTCTTCGGAGCCGTGTTGGGGAGAAGAGCGAGGAGGATCACATGTTTAGTTACGAGGTTGTGTACGATGAGAAGTCCATCTCGTGGGTCAAGGCTGTGGAGGATCCGGCGGTCGTCGGACGGGATGCGTTGGAGTACAAGATCGAGATGCCGTGAGCCTTTGAGAAGAAGTTTTTAGGCAGGGCAGTGTGCACCGAACATGCGTAAAATCTGTATATCGCCTCTGATCGCATAAAAATTCATCGTCGCTGTCATCTATCGTCGTCGTCGTTACTGTCGCTCTAATATTCTCCACTACTATTATCCTTCTGGAAGTAGCAAGTACGCCACTAGAGGTACATGGGACACTGCCTGGCTAGCAAAGCTCTTTTGGAAAGACCGAGGCATGGAAGGGATCATTGTCAGTCTGCTGGCTCGGGCAAGAGGACGGCCTTGACATGGCTAGGCGCATGAGAGGAACGCCTGGGATGATAGTTGCCAGGGAAGAAAGGAGCGATATCGAATGAACCATTGACTCTTTCCGCACTTGGCCTTGTTTCCAAGTCATGTAAGTCACAGTTTCCCACAGAACTACAAGGTACAAGGTAGGAAGAGCAACGGCGAAGACGGGCAGGAACTATCAGAAGGCAATGTCAAGGAAGCAAGGCGACAAGAAGCAGTCGAAAGAGTAGCGGGAAGGAGTGAGTGTGGATAAACCAGACCACAAGCACAGCAACAGGAAGTACCTGCCGACGGGGGAAGGCGGGAAGAACATCGACAGGAAGCAACAACGAGGGATGGAGGAAGGCACGATGTCAGGAAAGAGCAGCAAGTGAGCGACCATAAATAACGCGGACCTGACGACGTCCGTCTCCTGGAACCTCGTCCCAACATCATCACCATTCTCAGCACCGCCAGCTTCTATCAGCATTCAACCAGACACAACCACACCACATCATCAGCTCTTCTCTTTTGGATTACCACATTCATCAATCGTCCCACGTCAGTCATGGCAGGCAATCAAGACGCGGTTGCGGCAAGCAATCAAGACGCAGCTGCGGCAAGCAACCAAGACGCGGTTGTGACAAGCAATCAAGCCGCGGCTGCGGCAAGCAATCAAGCCGCGGCTGCGGCAAGCAATCAGGACGCGGCTGCGGCAGGCAATCGAGACGCGGCTACGACAAGCAACCAAGACCACAATCCACCTACTACTACAACGACTGCAACATCTACAACGGCTGCAACGCCTGTCACGCCTGTTACGCCTGTTACGCCTGTTACGCCTGTTACGCCTGTTACGCCTGTTACGCCTGTTGGGCTTGTTGAGCCTGTCAAGCCTGTTGAACCTGTTGAGCCTGTCGAGCCTGTCGAGCCTGTTGAGCCTGTTCCGCCTGTTCCGCCTGCGGAATCTGCAGTATTTGCACCAAGACCCGACAATTCTAGGTCGTTTAGCCTGTATATCCCATTCAAGATCAGGTTTTGGTTCCGTTGTCACTATTGGAGCACCCGGGCGAGAATGTCGTCGACGTCGAAGTCGAATTTCCTGACCAAATTCGAATCTGGCGATGATATCGATCGTGCCGATGCCGCGTTTCGAATGGATTGCATTGAGACAAACGACAATCTGCGCCGCATAGTTGTCAGAGAATACTACCAAGAGTGTAGGAGGAAGAAAAATCCGACCATCAAAGACCTGAAGATTGCTTTGATACGGGTATGCCAGAAGAACAACGAGTCCACGGATGAGACTATCGCACGCTTTCGCGCCCGCTGGCCATGGTCCTCGGAAGACGACCCAGACCCAAATGACCGAAGGATTAACGGCGTATGGCAGGATGGCACATACGTCTTACCCGACATAATACCTGTATCAATTTTGAAAGTTACAAAGCCTGACGTCACTCATTTCGAGTAGCGATACGACCACAACGGCAATCTCTACCACTAGCGAAGGTGTCTGCGGTCACAGCAAAGTTGTTGGCCTATTGTCGAATGCCAAGAGCACACGGAGTGCTTTTGGATGTGCTGTTGGGAACACACGCAGAAACGGACGGCTGTTCTTGATGCTCTCAGCCTCTGATATGGGCTGCCTCACCAACGAAGATGCGGCATGAAATCATTTTCCTTGTGAGTACCGCATGGGAGCTTTGACATCAACACTCTGAGCTGACCCTTTGATGCAGAGCAAATAGTCTCCCGGGCGTGGCCGAGGGGTCGTTGCGAAGGATGGTCGTCGCGGTGTATCATGGAAGTACGGATTATCTCTATATCAGAACTTGTCAGATAGCGAATACAACAGCGTGTCATACGAGCATTCCTTGGTGATTCAAAGTTTGTGATCTCAACTGTCACCGATCATCGGGCAGCCTGGCCAGGGGACTTCCATCATTTCCCCCGCTGTCCTGGTCCCCGACTCACGTCTCGGTTATATCTCGCTTTGTGGCAGTCGACGGTCTCGTCAGACAACGGGGAGTCTCCCGGCAGTAAGCATACGCGCCCTCGACAGGGCTTCACCCAAGCTTCCACGCAATCCATGTCATCCGAACCCCGTCCCATCACGGCATGCTTAAAAAACAACACCCAAGGTCGAATTAGAAGAATGGGCCCTCGATAGCGCCAAGCCACGGGGCAGAAACCTCAGCAGAGGACCCGATGAGGTCCACATCGACGGCAACGGTAGCGACAGCCGGCCCCAGCCATACGGGCTGAGCTTGATCTTACGCGGCTCTCCAGAGGTGGTCCCGACGGGGAAGGCTCCCCCTCCAGCCCGAGAAGAGAGACCGCTTAATTTTCCTATATCTGGGCGGCTTTGTCTCTTGTATACTTGGTGACTTTGACGGGGACGATGATGGACGACAACAGTAATAATAATAGCAACGATAGCAGCGACGACAGCAGCAATGGCGACGACGGTAAGGGTAGTATAGCCACAGGAAAAGCAGTCGCTCTAGCACAGGGAAAACAGGCGGTGTCCGAGAAGAGGAAGCTCGGCCCCGAGGGGTGTTGGACTAGCGGTGTTTACTCATGGGTCGTCTGGTTCTTCACCGCGCCGTCACTTTTGCTCAGAAATCTGCCAGAATCGCGCGATACAGGACCAACACGAACTTTCTCACCAGCGGTCTACGAAGCATCGTGGGATAGAGATGCGATGCTGGCAGGAAACCCCGTTGATCGGCTCAGCCCTGCGGACGACGACGCAAGCAAACGTCGTCAGCTAGGGTGACATTTTGCTGTTGGGAGTGTTCCCGTTTTGGGAGGTGGTCCGTACCGAGCTCCGGGCGGGGGCCGGTTTGGGCTCCGGGTGTGGAGTGAGATTCTTGTTTTTGGTGGGGGACACTGTACGGGGGGGAAGCTGTGGTCTACTAGGTAGGTCTAGGCTGATCTAAGACTGGATTTTTTCATTGATGTTTGATGCTGCAAGTGCGGAATGCGTGTGTGTTCGGGATGTTGTGCACTGCAAAGGGGGACTCCACGCGCAGCGCGACGGTCCCCTACGGAAAGCATATGAACCCTGTCTTTTTTGCCTTTTGAGCAAGAAAAAAATCTTAGAAAGGGATGGGCATACCCTGGACGATGGATGGAAAAGGGTCGTGTTTTCTGGGGAGGGAAGGGTGGGCTGTGGGTATCAATTCCAGAATTAAATGCGGCGCTGGGCGATGAAGGGGGGCGGCGGGCAGGCAGGCAAGCGCGAGATGCGGGAGGGTTCCGAGAGCCTCATTTTAGGATTACTGATGAGGGATATGCTCATGCGTGTATTTCTGATGCTACGATGATGCGATCGGGGTTGGTCAGTTGGACTTGGACGGATGAGCGGCGTGAGACGGCATTTTTGGGGGCCGGGTTATTGATGAGGTCAGCGCGGGAGGACGGGAGAGGGGGCGAAGGCGAGAGTGAGATGTGGGAGAGCCAAGGCCGTTGGCATCGACGCTAGAAGGACCCGACGACGGGCGAGGAAGACCGGCGTTGGAGGCTAAGCGTCTGCGTAGTCAGCGGCGGCATCCAGTGAAGCGGTTCGAACGCGCACGTTGGCGAATGGCGAGATCTGAACGGGCTGCGTGCTGCCGGAAGGCGATTTTGTCCTGCTGGAGGGGTGGTGGTGGGTGGCTGTGCACATTGATGTGTTTTCTTAGTGGTGTCCCTTCTGCGTTGTCGAAACATTGCCTGCCCGTTGGTGGTAATAAACGGCGGACGACGGGCAAGTGGGAGGAGGATTGGAACCGAAAGCGGGTTTGTGTGACATGGGATGTGTGGTGGGACGGGGCGCGCGACTGGGGAAAGGGAGGCGCCGCGAGGTGGTAGCTATTTTTACACACATCTTTTTGTTTGGTTCTCTAGGTAGGTAGTCTTTTCGGAACGATGCGATGAGTCGTTTTTGGGGCGGGTTGGACGAAAGAAGAGAAGCAGAGAATTAAACGCAGAAACCTTGTGTCCGGTTGTGGTAAGTGGTGCAAGTCTGGTCGACTGGGGGGCGTTGCGTATACGGGTTTTTTTTTTTTTTTTCCTTTGTTGCACCAAATCGCTGTCGTCTTGCAGGTCGTAAAAAAAAATAAAAATTACCCAACAATTCGCCCCTGCAAGAGCTGCATACACATACACACGTACTCGGGGACCCGGGAGTTTGGGATGGCGCTTGGTGGAAATGGGAAATGGAAGCCCGAGACCGGCTTGCACATTGTCAAACCTCGGATTCGGCGCGCGGGTGGTTGAGAGAAGCCGTGTGTGTGAAGGCCGAGAGGTAGATTCGGGGAAACCAAAGCAGAGCAGACGGTTCGTTGTTTGGATGTTTGGAGGCCGAGGAAAAACCAAGGAAAAGGATTTCTTTTGGTGAAAAGTAAGGCCGAGATCGATGAACGGTGGCCGGGAAACCGTCCGGGAGACGGGGAAACAGGGAAACGGGGGGGCATCTCGGCCGCGCTGGGGTTTGCTGTTGCTGGTGATCAGACTTTTGTTACCAATGATGTGTGCTGGGATCACGTAAAAAGTGCTCTGGATGTTGTGTCGATGTGCGGGAAGAAGAAAGCAGTGATGGGTGACGGGTTCGGTTGCTGGGGGATCATCACGTCACTGCGTCTGATTCTGCCGACATGCTCACCCCCTCCTTCCTTTCTTTCTTTTTCTGGGATCTACACGGCGCAAAATCATCGAACGGATGGGATGTGCGGAAGCCGTGGATTGCATGTGCGCATATTGGACGAAGCGGGAAGGACGTTTCGGGCTCTCTTTCTGGGCACGAACAGGTTCCTGGGTTTTGGTTTCCCGTCGTCGGATGTTTCTTGTTATGCGCTCTTTTTTTGGGCTGAACTGGGAAGGATGCTGGCTGCATGAGCGGGAGGCAGGCAGAGGAAACATTGGACTGAAAGTCAATTGGAAGCCAAACGACCGCCGGTTCGCAAAGGCCAGGCCGGACGCTCTTTGCGTATGTGATAAATGTGAAATACATGTCAGAGTCGAAAGAGATGGTCAGAGAGTGAGTCTCAGTCAGATTGAAAGCCACGATTTTGCTGCAAGGTCAGCTGGGCTGGGCCGTTGTTCTGTTCAGCTGCTGGGGCCTGTTCGCCTTGCCCTTTGCCTCTTGCCCCGGCTGAATTGATACCTACCTTCCTTGATTGAAATGAAGCCTGCCTGGGGTAAAGCAGAGAGGACTTAGGTAAGGCTGCCGTGATTCAGAGGGAGAAGGAACGACCTCAGCCGCCCCGGATGGGGTAATTTGGGTGCAACAAGGCATGTCTTTCCTTGAGTGAAGTCGTTGCGATGGTCTGACGGCCAATCAAGTGTTGCACGGGGTTTCTGCGCTCGTTGGGCTGAGTCTTGTTTCTCTCCCCCGTGCAACTTGTTTTATTATATTTTCTTTCCCTCATTTGATGGGAGTGATTCAGGCAGGCGCCAACGGCTTGGGTCGGATGAGCTAAGGGTAGACGGGACAGGGGATATTAGCGGTACCTTAGCATAACGCTGCATTTAGGTGATGCAGGGTTTCACCTACAATGTCCCATCGCCAATGGCAACTGAACCGATTAAAAGAAGAAAAAGCAAAGCTATACTAGGTGACAGCAGAAGAGTCTGGGATTCATTTGTTGCTAAGAAGTTGCCGGGCAATAGCAATCAATGTTGAGTTTGTTGATGGACGAGAAAATAGACTATGCTGCTGCCGCCGCCACGGCCGTGACGCAAAGCACCCGACGAGTGAGGGGTCTAGCCTGCGGACTGCCGGCATAACTCGACGACGATACGACCCAAGGGATTCGTGTGTATGTACTGCGTGGACAGCGACAGGACCCCGTGGACCCGGTTTCTCGGGGTCGGGACTTGTGCTGCTGCTGCTGCTGCTGTAACCCAGCGTTGCACTCGCTGAATTCTGAAAAAAAGTCTGGAAGCTCTCTCGTTCTGGACCAGAGAACCCCCGGTCGCGCGCGAGTTTCGTTTCCGCTTCATGATGCACACGAATAACACCCTGCCCTTTTGTCCTCTTTCTCTCTCTCGCGCAGACAACAGCAGCGGGCACATGACTTGAATACCCTGGTGGTGGTACACAGTGAAGCATCCACATGCCTCACCTGAAGACCTTTTTTGGGAGGGAGAGTGAGAGGGTGACCCTTTTTGCCATTGAGGGGTTGGCGTCTTTTTCTTTCGCGTACCTACCGCCGTACACGAGGGAGATCCAATGATTAGCGGAGTTGCTCACTTCGCGACCCGTGATGAAAGGGCTCGTAATGGATCTGAGGGAGGTTACTGATCTTGGCCGATCGCCGGTGCACCCAGGCTCCTTGGAAGCCAAAGCTAAGGCTAACGCCCTCCTCCAACGGCTTGTCGGCTGCCCCCATGCAGGATGGATTATTCCCAGTGCCCCCAGAGCAGCATCTTTCGAGGTGTGTCTCTCTCTGCTCTCGTAAGTCGTACCGCAAAGTAAGATTTGAC